GAGTGAATGAATGAGGGAGGAATTAGTGAGGGAATGAATGAATGAGTGAGGGAATGAGTGAGTGAATACTGAATGAGTGAGTGAATGAGTAAATGAGTGAATGAATGAGTGAATGAGTGAACGAGTGAGTAAATGAGTGAGTGAGGGAAGGAGGGAATGAGTGAGTGAATGAGTGAGTGAGGGAGGGAGGGAATGAGTGAGGGAATGAGTGAGTGAATGAGGGAGGGAATGAGTAAATGAGTGAGTGAGGGAGGGAGGGAGGGAGGGAATGAGTGAATGAGTAAATCAGTGAGTGAGTGAATGAGTGAGTGAATGAATAAGGGAATGAATGAGTGAATGAGTGAGGGAGTGAATGAGTGAGTGAATGAGTAAATGAATGAGTGAGTGAATAAGTAAGTGAATGAGTGAGTGAGTGAGCAAATGGATAATGATGGATGGGTGAATGGATGCACGGTTGGAGGCATGAATGGATTAATGGGAAAATGTATGAATAAATGAACGAATAAGTGAGTGAATGAATGAAGCATGGGACAGGTATAAGCGAGTGAACTTATGAATGAACAAAGACTGAATGTGTGCATGAATATATAAACAAGTGAAGAAATGATCTTTATATTTAATTAATTAATTAATATATAATATATTAATTAATATAACTTATTTATTTATTAATTAAATATAACTTATTTAATTAATATATAAATAAGTGAAGAAATAATAGTTATTTATAAATGATTCATTTACTCAAGTGAGTAAATGAATGGATGGGTAGATGATGAGTGAATAAATGAGTGAGAGAATAAATGAGTGGATCTTTTTTGCCAGATAGAGCACCCTCTCTGAGAGAAAGAGAGCGCCCAGTTGTTTGCCAGGGGTTCCAGCCAGATCTGGACCTGAGGGGAGAAATCTGGGCTGAGCCTCCCCAGCAAAGGGACAGGCACCCTAGTCCCTCTTCCTCCTCTTTACCTTCTCATGAGTATAAATCCCCTCCTCTAACCCCCTGGTTAGTCCAGCACACCTGGATCCGACCACACCTCCACCTGCTCCGAATTCTTTCTCCTCTCATCTGGCCCTGGGAGGCCCCTCCCTGGACTTCCTGCATCCACTCCCACCCCTGCAGGCCGGTCCATTCACACAACAGACCTAAGGGTCTTACAGCAACTGTTCTCACTTCCCCTGCACAGCAGAATCACCTGGGGAACTTTGTGAAAATAACAATGCCCAGGTCTGCCCTCGAGTGTCTGATTGCATTTGGCTCCATTAGGGCCCAAGTGTTAGCAACAGGTTGTTTTTTTATAAGACCCCCACGTGATGCTAATATAAAGCCAAGTTTGAGAACCACTGTCTCAAAGGCACATCACTCTCAAGATAGAGTCCAAGTGGAACAGAAAAATAGAAGAGGAGAGGACAAGACAGGATGGAACAGAACAGATCAGAACAAAATGGATCAGGATAGAACAGAACCGATCCAAATGGATTAGAATAGAGCAGGACAGATCAAAACAGAATGGATCGGGCTGGGCACGGTGGCTCACGTCTGTAATCCCAGCACTTTGGGAGGCCGAGGTAGGTGGATCATGAGCTCAGGAGATTGAGACCATCCTGGCTAACACGGTGAAACCACGTCTCTACTAAAAATACAAAACATTAGCCAGGTATGGTGCATGGTGGTGCGCACCTGTAGTCCCAGCTGCTCGGAGGGCTGAGGCAGGAGAATCACTTGAACCTGGGAGGTGGAGGTTGCAGTGAGCCGAGATTGCGCCACTGCACCCCAGCCTGGGTGACAGAGCTAGACTCAGTGTCAAAAAAAAAAAAAAAAAAAAAGGATCAGACTAGAACAGAACAGATAAGAATGGATCAGGATAGAACAGAACAGAACAGAACAGCATCCCAACCCCACTTAATCATCAGCGCCTCCTTACCACGGGCCATAGGCACCGCCCACTGCCTTCTCCCTTCCTGCCTCTACCTTCACCTCCTGTTTCTTTCCCTCAAACACAGAAGCTTCCTCCCACCTCAGGGCCTCTGCGTGTGCTGTCACCTGCCTGGTCTACAGTTTCACTAACTGCAGGTAGGTTCTTCATGTGGGTCTCAGTACAATGCCACCTCCTCCAAGAGGCCCTTTCTGATTGTCCTCCCTGCAGCTGCATTTCTCCCAGACACCTTTCATCCCATCACCCTGTTTTTTCTGTTTTGTTTTTTTGTTTTTTGTTGTTTTTTTGGTTGTTTTTTTTTTGAGACAGAGTCTTGCTCTGTCACCCAGGCTGGAGTGAGTGCAGTGGTGCAATCTCGGCTCACTGTAACCTCCGCTTCCTGGGTTCAAGTGATTCTCCTGCCTCAGCCTCCTGAGTAGCTGGGATTACAGGCGCGTGCTACCACACCCGGCAATTTATTTTTTATTTATTTATTATTTTTTTTTATTTTTAGTAGAGACAGGGTTTCACCATGTTGGCCAGGCTAGTTTCGAACTCCTGACCACAGGTGACCTGCCTGCCTTGGCCTTCCAAAGTGCTGGGATCATAGGTGTGAGCCATAGCGCCCAGCCTCATTGCCCTGTTTTGTTTTCTTCATAACACTAATCACTGTCTGAATCTCTCAGATAGATTATTGGTTCATGTGTTTATCGTCTGTTCCCATGTGAGCTAGGAAGGGTGGAGATCTTCTTGGCCACCCCCATTCATGTGTCCCCAGGCCCTGGAACAATCTCTGACACATAGCAGGTATCTGGCAGGCATTTATGGAATGCATGAATGGATGGGGGAATGAATGAGATTCTTTGACGTTGTCAGATCCTGGAGTGCACATGTTTTGGTTTGTTATTGTTCATTGTTGCTCGCTTAGCAGAGTGTCTCAGCATGTCCCGAGGTGGACGTGTGGGACCAGATGTCCTGAGCATCGTAGGACATTGAGAAGCATCCCTGGCCTCTTCCCACGGGAGATGCCAGTAATACTACTCCCCACACGCACTAAGAACAACCAAAACTGTCTCCAAACATTGCCAAATGTCAGGTGGGGGAGAGAATCGCCCCAGCTGAGGACCCTGGCGCTGCAGTATTTAATCCAGCACCTGGGCGCTAGGAGTGCTGAACACGTGTTTTTTGAATTTGGGAATCAAATCTTGCCTCTGGAGCAGTTCCACAATATGACCAGCAGATGGAAGCAGAGACCGCCCTTTCGGTAGCATGGTTGCCCTCACTTTGCAAAAAGTTTCTCAGCCTAGCAACTGATTTTCCAATAGCACTTATTTAGCCCCATGGGGCTATGTGAGCAAGCCACTCATTTGCGCCTTTCCAGATTAGACAGGGATGTCGCAGCAACGTCCTGAACCCAGGAGCAGACAGCCAGTAAAGAAGTGCAGGCGTTGGTGGGACTCCAGGGAGGATCATCTTGGGATCAGGCAGTTCTGAATTTTACTCCCAGTTGCATCCCTTTCTCTCCTTATCCCCTTAGTCCAGCTATGTTAACCTGCTGGTGCCTCAGTTTCCTCATCTGTACCCTGCTTTGCTTATCTCCTAGTCCTCATCCCGGGCTACATATTTCATATGCCTCTCTCTCCTCAACCATGTGGCACCCCAGACAGCAAGGGCTGGATCTGGAGGAGTCACTGCCCCCTAGTTGCTGGTGTGTACTGGCCTTCCTTTGGGTGTTTGTTGAATGACTGACTGACCAACTGGCATTGAGAATAGCACAGGTGCATAGAAAGTACTCAGTGGGTGTCAACTATAATGATGACAATGCTGGTGTCATGGTGATGATGATGTCATGATTAAGATGATGATGTCATATTGTTGATAATGGTATTGTCATCTTTTAATCCACATCAGTATTCCCCAAACCGTCAGCACCTCCCAGAGTTTCCTAAGCCAAAGGCTCCCCGGGCCCTTCCCTACATCTCATGACTTGGAATCTTACAGGAACAGAATCTCAGCCATGGTTTTGGGTTAGAATAGCCTGGAGAGCTCTTTAAAAACACTGATGGCTGGACCCCATCCCTAGAGAATATCAGATCAAGGATGTAGCCAGAGCAGCAGGATTTTGGGAATCACCCAGGTGATTCTAAGAGCAGCAAGGTGACAACCCTTCTCTGTCACTTAACAAACACCCCACCTCAGCATTTATGCAAAGTGTGGCTCTGGGCCAGAAGCCTCAGTGTTGCCTGGAAGTTGGTTAGAAATGTGAGTTCCTGCTGGGCGCAGTGGCTCACGCCTGTATTCCCAACACTTTGGGAGGCTGAGGTGGGCGGATCACGAGGTCAGAAAAATCGAGACCATCCTGGCTAACACGGTGAAACCCCGTCTCTACTAAAAATACAAAAAATTAGCCAGACGTGGTGGCAGGCGCCTGTAGTCCCAGCTACTCCAGGAGGCTGAGGCAGGAGAACGGTGTGAACCCAGGAGGCGGAGCTTGCAGTGAGCCGAGATTGCGCCGCTGCACTCCAGCCTGGGCGACAGAGCAAGACTCCATCTCAAAAACAAAAAAAAAAAAAGAAGAAAGAAATGTGAGTTCTTGGGCTTCACCCAGTCCTCCCGGCTCAGACACCCTGGGGGTGGCATCAGCCCGTGAGTACCAACAAGCCCATAGAGTCTCGGGCACGCTAAATGGGAACAGCACTGCCTCAGGGGACCTGGAGGTGGCGCCCATTCCCAGGGGCAGAACACCAGGATGAAAGGAGGATTGGATTTTTCTGGGGGAGGATGGAAAAGGTATGATTAGTCTTGAAGAGCGCTCTATCAATTGGCCAGCCTCTTGGGAGTCTTGCAGCTTCATATTGCAGACCTAACCCAACCCTGCAGAAAGCCAATGTCATGCCAGAGTTATTTTAGAGCAAAAGGAACTCCAGGCCAAAGCTCCCCAGAGAGAGCTCAATGCACTACAGGGCCCAGGAGGTAGGGCGCCCTCTCCCTTTCTCAGGTCCACCAAGGAGCTGATCCAACGGACACGGGTGAGAAGGAAATGAAGTCGGAGGGGCGCAAGGACTTTGCAATCTGTAAAACTCTGTGTGTGATTAAAGGATCGTTTTTATTTCTTGTAAAGAGGTTTGGCACTCCCTCAGGCTCCTCCAGGCCACACGGACACACACGCACATGAGCACACAAGCACTAGGATAACAGCCAGGCCCCGAGCTTAGTCCGCGGGGATTTGTGGGGGATGGGGGTGGTGCCTGGCCTCCCCAAGTGGCCTTTGAGGAAGAGGAGGCCACAGCCCATGAAGATGGGTCCATGAAGCTCCGGGGCCAAACCCCTCCCTCCCCTTCATGACCCAGTGCCCAGGCTCATATGGCCTGGTCCTGCCTCCGTCTCAGGCTGAGTTCACGGGCTGCTGCCAGGAAGGCCCCCCCGGTGAGCAGCTCCGCGATGAAGCTGATCCAACCCAGGGCCAGGGACCAGCCGAAGTGGATGTCGACCTGGTCCAGGAGGGCCTTCTCCTCCAGGAGACATAGCGCCTCCCGGAAGGCGGCAGCTGAATATGCTATGTAGACACTGATCCCAGCAAGGGTCACCATGGCTGCAGGGAGGGCAAAGGGAGAGCAGATCAACCCCCACCCCACCCCAGCACTCCCCTCTTCCTCCTCGCCCTGCCCAGCCACGCTGCCCGATGTCCAGCGTCCTCTTTCCTTCCTGCTGCAGGACCTTTGTGCCTGCTGGTCTCCCCACTAGATGCACTCACCCCTGCTTCTCTGTCTGTCATCAGCAACTCCTACCCTTCCCACACATCACAGCTCAGGCTTCGATTCCTGGACTTGCCTGAGCAGTGATTCCACAGCACCATACAGCTGCCCATCACTGCCCAGGTTACAATTGCAACTTTGCATTCGTTTGTGTAATTTTTTTTTTTTTTTTTTAAGACGGAGTCTCACTCTGTCGCCCAGTGTGGTGGTGCAGTGGTGCAATCTCAGCTTGCTGCAAGCTCCGCCTCCCAGGTTCAAGCTATTCTCCTGCCTCAGCCTCCTGAGTAGCTGGGACTACAGGTGCCCACCACCAGGCCCGGCTAATTTTTGTATTTTCAGTAGGGACAGGGTTTCACGATATTGGCCAGGCTGGTCTCAAACTCCTGACCTCAAGTGATCTGCCTGTCTCAGTCTCCCAAAGTGCTGGGATTGCAGGCGTGTTTGTGTAATTATTTAACTAACATCTGTCTCCCATGAGTTTCCAGAGGGCAGACATGCTCGTGTTGGTTTTGCTCATTTTCAATTCCCCAGCACCTAGAATGGTGCCTGACCCTTGGTGGTTTTCCACAGATATTAGATTTGAGCCACATGGTCCAGTACAATAGCTACTGGCCAGTTACACATGGCTATTTAAATTTAATTAATTTAAATAAAGTTAACAGCTCAGTCCCTACCAGCACTCGCTGCCCTGGCCTGGTTTGCAGCTCCCGATGCTCGGCACGGACTAGGGAACTTCTCCACCATCACAGAAACTTCTATCAGGCAGTGCTGGTTTTGAGAATTTGTCATTGGGTGAACTATGAATGCTAGTATTAATAATAATAGTGAGTGGTTAGAGGAAATGAGAGCTTTGCAATATTTTCACCTCCAGACATCCCTTTTGCTTTTTTCCCTCTGTGGATTCCAAGGGTGCATGTCAACACTGCTTTTTTTTCTTTTTTTAAGGAACATTTTAAATACACAGGGATACAGGGAGCCGTAAGGCAGCCAGCCATGTGCCAGGTCCCACTTTTTTTTTTTTTTTTTTTTTTTTTTTTTTGAGACAGAGTCTCGCTGTCGCCCAGGCTGGAGTGCAGTGGCATGATCTCGGCTCACTGCAAACTCCGCCTCCCAGGTTGACGCCATTCTCCTGCCTCAGCCTCCCGAATAGCTGGGACTACAGGCACCCACCACCACACCCAGCTAATTTTTTATATTTTTAGTAGAGACGGGGTTTCACCGTGTTAGCCAGGATGGTTTTGATCTCCTGACCTCATGATCCGCCCACCTCGGCCACCCAAAGTGCTGGGATTACAGGCGTGAGCCACCGTGCCCGGCCAAGGTCCCATTTTTCAAAACGTCTGGTCCACTGAACCAACCAGTGGTGCGAACCTAGCCGATGTCTGTCCACCTGTTGTTTTGTTTTGTCTTGTTTTCGTGTGTACTGCTGTTTACTTGACAAGTAAACATATGTATTTATGGTGCACGGCACAAGGGTTTGATACGCATGTGTACACTGTGGAATGGCTCAGTCGAGTTATTCAACACAGGCACGGCCTCACATAGTTAGCATTTCTTTTGTGTGTGGTGAGAACTAAAATCTACTCTCAGCGATTTTCAAGAACACAATAGGCTGTTGTTAACGTGATGTGACCGTGATGCCCAATAGGTCACTGGACTTCCTCCTTTTGAACTGAAATTGTGTGCTCTTTGACCAACATCTCCCCCCGCTCCCCTGCCCCACCAGCCTGTTCCATTCTCTGCTTCTGTGAATTTGACTCTTCTGGATTCTACATAGAAAGGAGACCATGAGGTGTTTGTCTTTCTGAGCCTGGTCATGCCCGTTTTTCAGTCAATCAAAGCAGTATCGATCAGAACGGCTGATCAGCAGGGGAGCTTGAGGGTGGCTGGAGCGAGGGTTTCTTGCCAGCTCACAGCCCTAAAGCCTGAAGCCATCACGAGTTCGGGCAAAGGTAATATACACGGCTTCTTTGGTGAAATAATAAAAGCGATTCTTGGAAGCTGCTCCCTCTGCACTGCTCCCGTCTTGGAACCAGAGACGAAGTGATTCTGGACTGGAAACCACTCATCTCTTCCAACTGATATCCCAGAAGGGGAAAATGAACCCCACGAGGTCCTGGGATCCCCCTCCTTTGCTGAGGGTTCATACACAGTAGCCAACGCCCAACCCCCAGACCACAAGCCAGAGCCCCAGGCAGGGTGGGCACCTACCTCCAAAGAGGAAGAGAGTTCCAGTGAGCAGAAGGAGGAGGTAGGCTCGGAGGAGGAAGCTCAGAAACCCTGTCATCCCCCCAAAAACCATCAGGATCAGGCTGAGCGGCAGCAGAATCACAAACGTCCCATGCATGGCTTAGAAGAGATAGAGAGGATACCAGGCAGAGGAGAGTTACTAACATCCTTCATTCAATCAACCAACACTTCCCGAGCACCTACTGGAGCTGGGGAAAATCCACACTGTCACTGGCCCTGTGACTATTACTTCTACTGTTTCTCATGATGATGATGACCATGGCGACGGCGGTTGAGGCTCATCGTGTGCAAGGCTGTGTGCTTTGTTGTTGTTTTTGTTGTTGTTTGTTATTGTTTGTTTTGTTTTTGAGACAGGGTCTTGCTCTGTCACCCAGGCTGGAGTACAATGGCATGACCATGGCTCACTGCAGCCTCAACCTCCTGGGCTTAAGGGAACCTTTCACGTCAGCTGCCCGAGTAGCTGGGACTGCAGGTGTGCACCACCACACCCGGCTAATTTTTTGATTTTTGGTAAAGATGAGGTCTTGATATGTCGCCCAGACTGGTCTCAAACTCCTGGACTCAAGCGATCCTCCTACCTTGGCCTCCCAAAGTGCTGGCATGACAGGTGTGAGCCACTGTGCCTGGCCAGAGCTGGTTTCTAACAAGAGGGGAGCCATAATGCAGATGCTCACACACATCATTAATTATTCATTACAAGAGCTGGGTGTTAGGGAGTACTTGGGATTGGGGGATGGCTGGCAGTGGTTTGTGCTTAGCTCTGCCTCCACAGCCATGGGACCTTAGGAGATCTAAAAGCCACTGTGGTCTTTAGCACGGCATTTGGGGACAGCACTTGCTGATCATTTAGAAGTTATCCTTCTCCCAAGGCTGGCTTCACTGACCGGAGTGCCCACCCCGTTCTCTACAAGAACATGTTTGTCACCACAAGAAGGAGCCTCGTGCAAGCTTTTTGGGTTTTGTTTTGTTTAAAGTTTTTGCCAGCACCTTGATTGCATCATGCAAGCTTTTTGAATGGGATGGGGAAGCAGGGACTCTGTGGATGAAGGGCTTTGGGCATTGAGAGAACTAAAGGGGACACTGTTATTCTCAGGGCATGAAGACCACATGATGTGTGGGATAACCAAAGTGAAGGGGGAGATGCTGCCCCTGGATTGCAAAGTCGAACGGATCCACCTGGAGAACAATCCTGCATTGAATGTATTTCTCTTGCCTCCTCTTTAATAAGATCTGGGACCAATTCTAGAGAACTCCCAAGCCCAAATAGTCAAAGACAAATATTAATATAATCTATAAAATCAGCAAGTAGAACAGAATGAATGACATGAAAGTCAAGACCCATGGTGGGGGGTGAATGGAGGAAGAGGAAGAGGAAAGGAGGAAGTCTAAGGTTTCAGGGTCTATACCTCTGCCACTACTTTGGCTCTGAGCTTCCCAGCATGCAAAGAAAAAAGGGAAACAAGTGCAAAGTTATTTTTTTATCCATCCTTCATTTACCAAATGTGTATTGGTTGTTTACTATGAGCTGGGTGCCAAGCATCTTTAAATCCTTTTGGCAATAGGATAGGTATGAAAATAAATACTTTCTTCTCATCCTTCAGTATGAAAATAAATACTTCCTTCTCATCCTTTAGTACAGGCTAAGCATTGTTTGTTCTGGGAAGTCTTTCCTTACTCTGTATTCACCACTGCCCATCCAGCCAAGTGCCCTTCCTCTGTGCCCCCTCAGCACCCCATATGGACAGGCATTTATTACCTAGTGTTGAGGGCATCTGAGTCACTTTTATGTCTCACCTGACAGGACATGAGTTCCTTGGCAAGGAGGATCTTATTTGATCTTATTTCCTTGTGCACAATTGTGTCCCTGAGTTTCTAGCAGAGGTTCTGTTCTGGGACATGGTAAGTGCTGAAGAGATGTGTGTTGGCCAATGTATTGAACGAATGAGTGAGTGAATGAGTGAATTTTGAGCTAGACAGTGTGGCTCTCAGGCAGGAAAAATACGGCAGTTTCTAGGCAATAAGAAAAAAACTGAGGAAGCCTAAGAGACGACTTCATGGCGACGAAAAATATAGACTTCAAAGCCAGATTATTTGCACTCGAATTCAGGCTGACTTTGGGGTCCTAGGCATGTCATGTAATTACTCAGAACCTCCATTTCCACTTCTTATGAAATGGAGGTAAAAGTATACGGCTCACAGAATTATCATGAGAATAATACTTGTAAAGCCCATAGGGCAACATGGGGCGATGTAGTAAGATATGCAGTCTTGTGTCCCATAGAGCAGGCACTAAATAAATCATAACTCTACCAATAATAAAGATGATGAGAATAATAATTTGGTCTGTGACCTCCACTGTGACCAAATCACTTTGTCTTCAGTCCCTCAAGTGGCAGTAACTTTGGTGAGTCAAGAAAACAAGACTGAACTTCCTCTCAGGGCTGTCCTGGGATGAAATGGATTACAGGGGATGAGACCTATGGTCTTTCTTCCTTTCTTTCTTTCTTTTTCAGGGAAAAATCTTGGGCAGGGAAGTACCACAGCTCATGCAAACACCTAGTCCTTTAAAATCCATCCCCCGCACACCATCGTCTCAGACTGTGGCCGAGAAAGGAAATCATTTCTCATTCAGAAATTAATGAGGTTTCCCAGAGCTGATGCAGCCATGGCGGCCCCATGTGAGTTCCGCAGTCATGCTGCAAGCTGCCTTGATGTCCACATTCAATTAAATGTCTGGGTAAGAACAAGTTACCCAGGAGAGACTTGTAAAATCTCCTGCTGAAATTTGGTTTAGCTTTCTTTGTGTGTGTGCCCTATTCTTTGCTATGTTTTTTTTTCCCCAGGATTGTGGTTTTAGAACATAATGTTGATTCCAAGTTCTGTTCTACTTGCAAATGTTCCCATCGCTAGCCACATCTCTGAATGCGCCTGGGGAAGATATTCCCCTTTGGAATGTGGATATGATAAAAATAATCATCACCACCAATTTTGTGGGGGCTGGGTTATTTGGGACATGGTGGATATGTAGTTTCAGAGTGAGGGGTTACAGTCAAAAGACCACTGAATAAGGATCTGTGCCATACAAGCTGTGTGACTCTGGACAAATGACTGGACCACTCTGAGCCTTGTCGGCAAAACAAGAGTAAAAATACTTGCCCACTGATCTCCTAGAACTTATTAAAGTCTGCAAACATATTAAGAGTGTCTGCTGTGAGTCTAGCTCCACACTGAGCACTGAAGACAAAGAAATAAGTCACAGACAGTTCCTCTCTTGCCGGCATGTTGATGGAGTATGTGTATGATTGACCATCCAAACCACAGTTTTGAGAATCAAACAATCATCAACGGTATTAAATTATCTACCGTGACCATAGGTGTCTACAGGGACCAGGCAGGATAAACCAGGACAACTGGTCACCCCACTTCTCCGTTTATTGTTTCAGTAAACACTGATGCAACACCTGCCACCTATGCTCACCAGGGTTTCAATGTCAGCCCTATCACTTCTAGCTGAGGGGCTGTAGGCGAGTTACTTTATAACTTTCAAGCCTCAGTTTTCTCATCAACTAAATGGGAATACTAAGAGTATGCACTTCACAGGATTGTGTACTGAGGATGAGATAAAATGGACAAACTTCTTAGAATAGTGCTTGTCATATCATAAACCTAATAAAAGTGTTAACTGTTATTCTCAGCTTGATATTGGACTATCTAAATGAAATAACGTGCGTGAAATCTTGCACACCTTTTGGTAATATGGAAAACCCATTACAACCAAACACAGATCTAACGTCATGAGACCTGATTCCTGTTCATCAACAAGTCTCTAATGAACCCCTGTGATGGAGAGAAAGAAACAGTTTCCAGGCCGGGCACGGTGGCTCATGCCTGTAATCCTAGCACTTTGGGAGGCCGAGCCGGGTGGATCACGAGGTCAGGAGTTCAAGACCACCCTGGCTAACATGGTGAAACCCCGTCTCTACTAAAAAATATAAATAAATAAATAAATAAATAAAAATAAAGAAACAGTTTCCAGCTTCTGGGAACTGGTGTGGCGCTCATAGCTAGACTGCGGCATTCTGCTGGATATAATATCATAGAACTCCGACATCAGATGAGGTCATCTGAGACCACAACACAATGAGGCCCAGCAAGGGCCCTCCACAGGCTGCCTAAGCAGAGGTGAAAACAAGGTCTCTGTGCCACCCACAGAATATCCACACCTCCTTCTCCCAGCTGATATGAGTGTCCCTACTTGCTCAACACAGCTCGTCTGCCTCCCTGTAGATAAGATTGAGATATTCGGTCACAGAATTATCTCCGCTTCCTGATATTACCCAGTCCAGAGCAAACCTCCAACTCCTCAGACCCTCCAAAGCCACCCCATCAAAGCCCGAATCCCGTAAGTCCTTCCTAGCAACCTCTTACTGAGACACCCCACGGCTCCCCATGGTGTGTGTTCTCCTTTGCTGCAATGAGTAATAAACCCCAACTTGAACTGCAGGGGTGTCCCCAGTGGTCTCAGGCTGGAGGGCATTGGCAGGGGCCAGGGGCTCTCCCAGGCACTGGCGAGCGGGGAGGATATGATGGAGCAGGACAGAGGTGGCAGGAATCAAAGGCCGGCAGGACCTGGAAAATGTCTTTCTTGTGATGTATTCTTGCACATCCCGAATGCCCAGTGACTTGCAACCCAGAACCTAGAAGGTAGTACATGCTCCCTGTGCAATGGATGGCTGAGTTAATGAATGAGAGAAGGAAGGAAGGAAGGAAGGAAGGAAGGAAGGAAGGAAGGAAGGAAGGAAGGAAGGAGAAGGGAGGGAGGGAGGGAGGGAGGGAGGGAGGGAGGAAGGGAAGGAAGGAAGGAAGGAGGGAGGGAGGGAGGGAGGGAGGGAAGAAGGGAGGGAGGGAGGGAGGGAGGGAGGAAGGAAACTGAGCATTTGCTGAGCATCTAATAGCTGCATTATTTTGGGATGGGTATTGCAGAGGTACAAAGTTGAATCAGACATAAATCCCACCTCCTTGGAACTTATAATTCAGAAAGGAAGTTCAGATGTAGACATAAATTGCTGTAATGTCAGGCGAAAGTGGTGCCTTAAGAG